CTTCCCCACCCCCATCCCGAGACACGCTTCAAAATCTGTTGGTGGGAGGCTGGGGCGGATTCTGCTCAGGCGACCTGGTTTGTTTATGGGGTTAATCTTCCTAGTATATTTCTCTGCCACTAATCGATTTTAGTAAGGAAAAGGGGGGTGGGGGGGGAGATGCTGGCCCGTGATGTTCATAAGGTTGACTGAGGCTCTGTTTTATCTTTCGGGTTGGGGGCTGTGGAGGGCAGGGAAGGTAGCCTCATAAGACCAGGTGGAAAAGATTTGTCCCTAATTCCAGAGAAGAACCCTGCCCGAAGCGTCGGTTAAACCGTTGCCAGCGTTCACACGTCACAGCTTGCAGACGAGGCGCCTGGAAACAAAAGGGTTACTTGTTTGCCCACCACCGCCTTTACCCCAAGATCGATTTTTCTTATTTAATCAACGAGTAAAAAGAAATCCTATTCTCCCCCCCGCCCCCCAAAAAAAACGAAGGAAAAAAGAAAAGAAAAACCATCTGGAGGGGAGGAGATGGGACGCAGAAAATCCGCCTTGGGTGGTGGGCTGTGGGTCCCTGGAACGGCTCAGGGGAGCCGGCCGGCGCTCGCTGCCGCCGCACGCTGCCAGCCTCCCGGCGCTCCGGCTCGGAGCTCGCCGCGCCTCGGCTTCCGCGCGCCACCCGAGCGAGCGTCTCAGATATTTCTCCCCAGTTCACACACTCCAACTAGTATTTACCGACATCCTCTCTTCGCAGCCTGTTTGAGATGTGTTTTAATAAATAAGTGTTTTATGTGAATGATGTAGTAATTGAAACACGGGCCAGCCCAGCACCATTTTTTTTTTTTTCCTTCTGACTGTGGGAGAGGTGCCTCAACCCCAATCTGGTTGGGAAATAAAACGCTTTGTCTCCACACCCCTCCCCCAGCGCACCCCACCCGCTCCCAGTGTGTGTTTTATGCGTGTGTCTCTCCAACCCCCTACAGTAGCCAAGAAGAAAGCAGCCGGCCAATCAGAGGGCCCAGTTTCATAAAAGCTGCTCTCTGATTGGCCCGCTGCGAAAGGGCACTGGGAACAAAGAAAAGTGCCTTTCAGGTAACAGAGGCTGGGAGCCGCTTTCGCTCCAGTCCCCCTGTGTGTGTTTGTCTGTGTTGTCTTTCCAGCCCTGATTTCAGTGTTGCAGAACAAGCTGCTGGTGTTGTCTGTAGGCACCAGGGGGATTTTGATTTGGTTGTTTTTTTTTTCCTTAAACTTTATTTTTTATTTTATAAACAAGTACACAGGACGGTCTGTTAATAATACATTTGTTGAAGAGCTTACAAATTTCAAAATAAAGCGGCTGCAACCAAACACATTCAATGCAGTTAGAAGGAAAAGGTCAACTCGCTCCCAAACAGACCGTAAGTACGGTGGCGTGCTGTGTCTCTCTCTCTTAGCACTTAGCGGGGACTTCATGCAGGGGAATGTGCGAGTTGGAGGCATTGAAAGGAGGAACTTGGTTGCAGGGTTTGGCTTTTGCGTTTAGCACAACCCGAGAAGGGTGCGTTTGGTTCAGTGGAGGGTGAAGCGTTTGCAATTCCACACCAATGAAGCTCAACCGGGCGCTCGGGATAGCTAAGGAGGAAGTGACCTTCTGGGCTCCAACCCAGAGGACAACGCAAGTGACACAGTTACTAAGTCTCAGTCCACAAAGTCCGGTTCTGCCTGCCCCCCTCCCCAAACCCAGCCCGGGACGGGGGCGGGGGCCGTGTGTCCCCGTCACGTCCTAGTGGCCTCGATAATTTGCTATCAAGTCACCCATCCCAGGCAATGGTGATAAGGACCACTTTTTTTCCAGCTCCTTAAAAAAAAAAGAAAGAAAAAATCCCTCAAAACACCCTTCAGGGAAAGGGGGAGGGGGAAGCCCCAGCAACCTAAACAAATGCACCAGCAGTAATAAGGACAGCGTGTTTTCTGACAAGGCTCAGGGAGCTGGCCAAAACGTTTCTCTTTGTTTCCTACACCAAGGGGACGGGGTGGCGACGGGGGTGGGGAGCCCCCAGGTGCACGTGCGTCCCCCTCCCCCACCCCCCACCCCCGAGCAGAACGCACACGCCGGAGACGGGCGGAGAAGAGGTTTGTGAGGTGTTTTCTGGAAAACCTCGGTGGGGCTCTGGCGCGCTCCCTCGGCAAACCTGCGAGAAACCCGCACCTCCGGAGCCAGGAGAAAATGTCCCACCCTCCAACGGCCCCGCAGCCTCGCCCCCCGTGAGAGCGCGAGGGCGAGCGTGCGGGCGGGGTGGGGGATGGGAGAGGCTGGCTCGCTTTTTTTTTTTTTTAAAACACCAGATCAGTATTTTCTTGATACGCTTGTCACCATTTTTGTTCTCACGACAACCAATTGAGCCCTTGATCCTCACGTGACGCGAGAGGCTCGCACTGTAACCAAATCGCTCCTTTTCCGTGGTTGGTCGCCGCGGGCTCGCCTCCCCTCCCCCGCCCCAGCGCCGACATTTCCAGCGCGGCGACTCCCGCACTTCCCATCCATCAACAATTCATTACTGCTCTTAGCTTCCAAACGCCAGCTAATTAAAAATCCTAAGCCAAGCTCCGAGGCCATCTGACTCAACGCGTGAAGGGGGCGGGCGCCGTGAGGAGGAGGAGGAGCGGGGGGGGGGTAAACTAAGTAAAAAGGGAGACACACCGCTCGCCAGAAGGGGAAAATTGTCCTGAAAAAGGTCGCCTGAGGGAAAAAAATTTTTTTTCCACTCTTTAATTATCGAATTACCACACGACTGACGGGCTGGAGCGACGCGGGCGCGCCTCCCCCTCCCCCACCCTCCCTTAGGGACTTGTAACTAGGAACTCGGTTCCTTTTTTTCTTTCTTTTTTTTTTTTTTTTCCCCCTGAAAACAACATAAAACAGGAAAACACCACATCCTTTCTCCCGGCCGTGACGCGACCGGGCCCCGCGTCCCTCACCGGAGCCCGCGAGCGCTCGGGCCGCCGCGCCCAGCCCCCACACCTGTCCCCGGCGCGGCCGCGCTCCTCCTCCTCCTCCTCCGCCGCCGCCGCGTCCACCCCTCCTCTTAAGTTAGTTGGAGAAATCAAATCTGTCAGGAAGGGCGGAAAAATGCCACTTCCCGACTAACAGGCGGAATCCAGCCCAGATTTTCAGTCCTTTCTTCTTCTTTTTTTTTTGTTCTTTTTTTCCCTTTCGCTAATTTGGCCCGATGTTAGCGCAGTCTGTCTCGTTACTGGCGGGCGCCTGGAGTTCGCTCCGCGGGATTAATACTTACCGATCACGGTGACTCTTCAGTCTACAACTGAAGGCGGAATGCGAAGTTGGGAAAAGTTTTTTCTCTAAACTCTGTCTTTCTGTCTTCCACAAACCCCCTGTTATTCTCGATGCTTGTTCAGCGGGAACAAACCCTTTGGTGCTTCTGTTGTGAATGTGAAACATTATCTTCCAGCCTCACAGTCACACATTTTTTTAAAGGAGAAAAAAGGACACCCGGTCCGCTGGCCAAAAAGGGGGAGGTGGGGGAGAGTGGGGAAGTGGAATAATGTTCTCGAGTGATTATTCTGGCTGAGATGTGCGATTTGGCTTCTTCCTTCTTGATCATTTGGTGTTTAAGTAAGATGAGGTACAGGCTTGTTTGCCGAGTGGAGTGGGAACAGCATTTTGATTTGCTGGCCTAATTAAAAATGAGAGGATTAAAGGTAAGCAACGCTTGTGTGTATGTGTGTGAGTGTGTGTGTGTGTATGTATTTATGTATATTTATTATTTTTTTTCCCTGACTGTCAACTGTTAAAAGGGGGCTGATCCCTTTAAAAACCGTTTTAACTGCTCTTTGTCAAACACACTCTCATTTGCGGTCGTTGAGGCCACCTTGGCGCGGATCACTTAAAGTGTATGTCTTAATCAGTTTCCTTGTGCAGTTAGCAGCACCGTATTTAACAGACCGAGTCAAGTCCTGTGGGCTGGGAATAGAGCAGAATTATTTAGATTTTTTTTTTCCCACCCTCAGAAGGCGGATACTTAACCTTTTGTAGAACACTGTCTCTCCTATAGAGAAATGCGATCAAGACATGTGTGTGTATATTTAGACAAACTGGATGCTGTTGGGGAAGAAAGGATAGGAGGATAGGAGGGTGTGTGTGTGTGTGTGTGTGTGTGTGTGTGTGTGTGTGTGTGTGTGTGTTTTCCGTCCTGGAAACAAAAACCAGATTGCCCAATTTGTAAAGCAAAAAAAAAAAAAAAATCCTAAAATTAGAAAATAAGAACAATTGAGCAGATAGATTGAGAGAAGTTTTAGGCTGTCTGGGCTTTTAATGGCAAGAGCAAGAACGTGGCCAGGGGCTTTAAAAGCCGTGTTCCTCTGGTCGGAGTGTTGAGCCTTTGATTTGGGGAACTGAGATAGCACACGCGCCAGGTCAAAAAAAAAAAAATCCTAAACTTAAAAAAGATAAAAGCAGCAGTCCATAGAAACCTCGGATCTGTAGGAATTTTGTTAATATATAATGGCTTTTTTTTTCCCCCTTAAAGAAGTGTTGTTGATATAGGGTTGGTTTTTCCCACCTCTTATTCTTTCTAGCGACTGTCCTGGGCATGCCTTTTTTTGTTTGTTTGTTTCCCTCCCGCGGGTCTGGGTCTTCCCCTTAACTCTGGTCCTGGATTGTGGAGACAATACCCCAGCCAGCTCAGTCTGCCGCCGTCCCGGGCCCCTTCACTGCCGCCTGGGTCGTGGTCTGGTTGGCTCCTGGTAACACCCAGACGAGAAACCTTCGACTTTTCCCCCCTTTCACAGGAAAAGGTGGACCTGGACTGAAGCCTGTGGAAGCCCCGGACACGTTGGTGGGGCAGGAAAAAAAAAAAAAAAGAAGAGGAGACTCTGAAGATAATTTTGGTGGCTTTTTTTTTTTTTTTTTTTGGTTTTGTTTTTCCTGCGAAGAGGAAGCCCAGCGGAGCTAAACGAATGTCCCCTCATCTCCAAAGGAAAGTTCTCCGGGTGTTTCTGCTTCAGAGCCCGCCTTCAGGATGTCAGTGAGCAACATTCCCACTGCAGGCAAAGGTGTGGATGCAAACGCGGTTGATACCTATGACAGTGGCGATGATTGGGAAATCGGGGTTGGGAATCTGATCATTGATCTGGACGCTGATTTGGAGAAGGACCGACAGAAATTTGAGATGAATAACTCGGCCGGCACCGCGGGCGGCAGCAGCTCCCGGGATTGCGGCGCTGCGGCCTCTGCTGCCGGGACCGGGGCCCCCGCCGCCTTAGCCGACGGCCTGAAATTTGCTTCTGTGCAGCCCTCGGCTCCCCAGGGGAATTCGCACAAAGAGACCAGCAAATCAAAAGTGAAAAGGAGTAAAACTTCTAAGGATGCCAATAAATCTCTGCCTTCGGCTGCCTTGTATGGGATTCCCGAGATCAGCAGCGCTGGCAAGAGGCAGGAAGTCCAAGCGCGCCCTGGAGAGGCGGCTGGCATGAATTCAGCGCTGGGTCAGAGCGGCAGCGGCGGCGGCGGCGGTGGTGGCGGCGGCCCCAGCAGCCACGGCCCCGGCCCCGGTCCCGGCCCCGGCCCGGGCCCCGGCGTCCCCTCCGCTGCTGCCACCGCCGCGGCCACCGCGGGCTCGTGCGCCAAGGGCCGGGACGAGAAGCCAGCCAAGAGCCAGGGCAGCCGAGGCGCCAAGCGAGACAAGGAGACGGGCAAATCCAGGAAGGACAAGCACGATCTGTTGCAGGGTCACCCGAACGGCGGGGGCGGCCAGGCCCCATCCGGGGGGCACCTCTATGGCTTTGGGGCCAAGAGCAATGCGGGTGGCGCGAGCCCCTTCCACTGCGGGGGCGCTGGGAGTGGTGGTGCCGGCGCTGCCGCCGCCGCCAGCGGGGAAGTTAACAAAAGTGCCACGGATTCGGGACTCATGGGAGGAAACTCTGTGTTGGTAAAGAAGGAGGAGGAGGACGACGAGAGCCACCGGAGGATCAAGAAACTGAAAACCGAGAAGGTAGGACCCAGTCGCCCTGGTCGCGGGCCCCTTCCTCCCCCTCCCAGCCCCCGTGCGCTCCTGGTGCGTTGGTGTGGGGGTATGCAGGCTGTGGCTCAGTGCACCCTCCCCTGCCCCCTTCCCCCCTACCCTGTGCTTCCCGGGTTTGCGCCAGGAGTGCTAGCTGTGCACCTAGTGCAGCCCAGTCTGTTGCTGGGGGCGCAGGTGGGGGGAGCTGTTCTGGGTGCCTCTTGGCTGCTGCTGCGGGGCGGTGTCTGGGTCCCCAGGTTGGGGATTGGGTCAGGGGGAGGGAGGAGGGACGCGAATGCACCTGGGTTCCCAGCTCAGGTTGCAGTGTGCCCGGAGTACAAAGCGCTCCTGCACCCCTGGGACTCTCGCCCCTGTTTTGTCCCCTAAGAAGGACAGTCTTCCGTGTCGGGCTGGCCGTGAGGTCCCTGACCCTGCTAGTCCCGAGGGGGCAGGGTTCAAGTTCCCTGCTTGAAGAGGAGGGATGCCGAGGATCCTCTTTGCTCTATTTTCACCAACCTTGGCATCTGTTTACCCTCCCCGCCCCTCCCCACGAGTCTGTCAGGGTGTCTCCCTGGATGCGTCACCCCGAGGTGTTGCTGGTGTGGTTTGGTGCCTGGTAAGATCCAGCCCCAGGTCCTGTCCTCCCCTCCCTGCTCTCCTGGAGGTGTCCCTTGCACATGTGGCTTGCCTGGGGAGCTGGAAGGCGGCAAAGAGCAGTGAAGTGGACCAGACACGTGGCAGTGGTTGAGGACCGGAGTCCTGCTGCCTTTGAACCCCGTGGTTGCTGACTTAGAGGGGTTTAAGCCTTCCTCTAGACTTCCTTCAGCTGTGTGGTGGTCTTCCTGGCAGCCAGGAGCCCTTGCTTTGGGTAGGCTGCCCCCCTGGGGGAGTGCTGTGGACTGGTGGAGGAGGCAGGCAGGTGCCCTGGTCTGGGGGTTGTGCGTGTTGAATGGTGACTGTGCACTGGAGGTGCTGGTTCGCCAGGCAGGTTGGGGCACTCACTGGATGTGTGGGTGACACTGCTGTAAATGAATGGTGGAGTACTTCTTGGGCTGAGCCTGGGAGCAGCAGCATTTTTGTCATGTGGCTTGCTGCTATTGGTTTTTGGAAAGCTGCTTACCAAGCAGTTTGTTTTTATCTTGCCGTTTGTGACTTGGTCAGAATTGTAATTGTGGTAAATAATGTCTTTGGGTATTTGCCTCTCAAGTTATTCTCTACTCTCTGTTGAGGCCTTTTTGTTGTTTTGCTGTGTTGGTGAATGTCCAAGATTCCAGGTGGGGTCTGGAACGCAGAATTTTGATTTGGGAAGGTGATAGTGCTCTTTCAGGTGTGGGGAATGCCAGACCCACTGAAAAGTCGTTGGAACACTCCACTCTCCCTTTTAAATGCTTAGCCTCAATGCTAAATCGGTATACGTACTGATGCTTTCAAGTGGGGTTTTTGAAATTCCCAGATTTTGAGTCTTAGATTTGAACGTGTGGTTTCTCATCGTTTCTGCTAAAAGGCGTTCTGAGATCTTATTACTTGGTACTGTAGGGCATTTACTTTGGTTGCCAATAGTCTTCAAATTGCAGTTCTAATCTGCTTTAACTGTCTAGATGAATTGCCCTAATCCAGTGCTCACAATGGCTGTGGTTAAGGAGTCAGTGCTGTTTGATTGGATTCGCTGGCTGCTTGGAATGTGGGAGGGACTGCCCTTTTGCATTCCCCTTAGCCTTTTAATCTTGCAGCCAAATGTTCACATTCAACAATTTTGTTTAGCTGGCAATCGGGACATTTCAGAATCTCAAAGGCTGCTGTCATGGCAACTGAGAGGAGAGCACGGTGTCGCTTCTCTGCTTTCTGTGTTCTTTTCACTTCGCAGTCACAGAGGAAACTGGATGGAGAAAGGGAAAATTAAATTATTCATGTACGGGCCCGTCTTCTGCAGTCTGAGCGCTATACACGGATGGGACCCTGTGAATCTCCTCAATGAGAGGCTGGCCGACTGTGGTGGGGGATAGGGGAGGGCAGGAAGCATATTGCATGCAGATTCCCTCCCGCTCCTGGCCTCCTGGAGGGACCAAGCTGCACCTGTCCCGCCCACTGCAGCCCCTGCCTGGACGGCCTGGAGGTGGCAGGGCTCACTGGATGACCTGTCTTCCGAAGGTTCTCGTCCTTAGCTTGGGGAGATGGCACTCTTCTGCAGGAATGCCACCCCGGAAAGTCAGTCTAATTCCACTAACGAGTGGTTGCGTCAAATTAGGCTTCTATCTAGGAAAGGCATCCTAATGAGGGGAGGAGGCCTCTGAGCAAGCAGCAGAGGCTTCACCTGACAAAGTGACTCCCCTGCAGGGCACCTCGCGCAGGCACTTCTGACCTGCTCGCCACCGCTCTGCCGCCCCCCAGCCGACTCTAGGTGTTTGAAGAGTCAGTGAGGCTGATCAATTTTCAGCAATCAGATTTTGTGGCTCATGGAGGCCACACGTGAGAACCGAAGGGAGACTCTGTGTGTGTGTGTGTGTGTGTGTGTGTGTGTGTATGTGGCTGGTTGGAAGGTTTGCAGGGGATTCATAAGATGGGCTGTCACCGGTTAATTTTCACAGCATGCCTAAATGTCTATTTTTGGTCTCTTTATTCTGTTTCTTCACTACACAGTCATGTAAAACATGATAAATTGGACCTTATGAAACCTAATTAAATCAATGAGTGTTCTATTCCTTTATGTGGAAACCACAAGTATGTTGTAAAAGTCGCCACTCCCTGCATAACGTGAATGAAATCAAAACATGCCATAATTCTGAGATGTGTGAGCAGTATTTCTGTATCCCATTTTGTGGTTAAGCCGCCAGTGACATGTCTGAATAAGTAGATTTGATGGGCTGGCTTTGGTTGTTAAGACCTGCCTCTCCGCCTCCCCCTCCTTCCTGGGGAAGCCTAATACCTTTGCACCAAGCTTGTGGGCGCACAGTGTTCACTTACCAGCTAGGCAAGCATTCAGCTGTCTCAGTAGACACCTGTGGGGAGCACCATGTTTGCTTGAGCACCAAAGAATTTAAAGATTTCTGTATTCTTACCAACAGCTGATACTGGAACAGATATGAAAGGCACTGGTGATTACAGGATACACCAGCTTAGGGATCAATTCAGTGTCTACACAGATGGGAGAGTTCTCGGTGGTGTCCTGGCATTTTTCTTGGTAGGGGCTCTCGTCACCCTAACATGGTACTACACATGGTACTTAAAAGATAACCTTTTCTTTTTATTCTGTGGTTGGAAGTCTTTTCACACATCGCTGGGGGAATTCTGGTACTTTGAGTGGGAGCCGTTTAAGAGCCTATTTTGATGAATAAGTTTTGTGAATGGTTTTATTTGATTTGGTTGGTTGGTTGCAAACATCGGTCCCCTACACATTTTTCTGGGAGTGTCATTTACACGCTGGGGTCCCTTGCTGGCGTCTAAGAACAGGGTCCATTGCTGAGGTCACCACACTATGGTGTTGGGAAGCTCGGTGGCTCTGGCAGCACTGACCCAGCGGCTCACTTCTCTGGAGGTTTCCTTCAACCTAGCCCAGGGCCTGACCGCTCCCCAGGGAAGTTTGCTGTGAGAATCCTTGGAGCCTGGAGCGTTTGTATGAGCAGCCTCTGCCCAGAATCCCGAGTTTGGGGTTTGAAATCTATTGGATTTGCAGTAGAGAAGGACAGACTCAGTTGATGAAGAGATAAATAATGCTCAGCAACTTTTGTAACTTTGCAACTAGTCTGTAATTACAAGGAAGGAGGGGGCACTGCTTGTGCCAGTGTCGGGAGGTTAAGAATGCTCTTCAAGGGAGACTGCTTGGCTCCGAGATGGTTTTAATTAGAGCATTATAAAGACTTATTTTTCCTAAGCAGTGTTTTATAGTCAGTAAATGAAATGTGTGCCGAAAGTGCTAAGCAGAAACCTCCCCAAGCACAGAGGTGTTCAATAACCAGATCCAAACAACGCGGAAAGGGCCATCTGTTCTTCGTTTTCAGCATGAAAACCAGGGATTGCACGGCTGAAATTTGCTCCAATTTTGACAGTGTCTGTGCGTGCCTTCCCGCCCCCCTTTTGATTTAAAAAAAAAAAAGTTCACCTGGTACTTCATAGAGACTTGAAATTGCGGTAATATGAGCAACACTGTGAAAACACATGTTCCTACATTGACTTTAACCAGTTCCACTTTTATTTAAAAGCTTTCCAGAAGCGCAGGACACCCCCGGCCCCCGCCCCAGCACTGCAGACACTCGCCATGGGGGGGGGGGTCCATTCTGCTGAGCTGTATTCAGCTGGTACCTGAATGGTCCTGTCTGTCCCTCCTCTCCTCCCCTTCTGCCTGAGGGAGGCAGGGAGTGGGAGGTCTGCGCTGAGCAGTCTTTAAGATGGTTCATTTAATGTGCCTGCTGCTTCCCTGGGCTGCTGACTGTGACCAGAGAGGTCTTGCCCTGGGAAGGCTTGTCCATTACTGGGCAAAATACTCTTTTCAGATACATTTTGGAACCCTGGCGCTCGGGGTCCTGGGTTTGGGAACAGCCCTGGGTGAAACATTCTCGGGCCTTTGTTTGAGGTCTTTTCTTGAAGCTAATGACTGGGCTGGTGCCTTGGTGAGATAAATGGCATTATCTCTGAGTGGGCTGACAGGAAACAGACATGTTAATGGTGAAGCTGCGGGGAGGATCTGCCCGGGTTTCTCCACAAAAGAGTGGAGAAGAGACCCCTGGTTGTGGTCATTAACACGTAATGCATTCTCTTCCTGAGAGGCCTTGGGTAATTGGAAAGCTATTTTAGCCACAAGTATTTAAATCATAAATCTGCTACTCCCAGTTCCTTAGCCTTCTTAAAAGTGGCAAAGCAATATGTTTTTTTCTTTTCTTCTTTTGGGGGGCAGGGTGAGAGGTAACAAGTGTGTGGTATTTATTTTTCCTTTAAACATGGTGGCAGTTTTTTTTTTTTTGCGGGGGGGGTGTTCCTGAGTGACATTCGGTGGAGCT